CTTCCGATTACCTAGGAAGCAGCACTTAATTCCAGACTAATAAAATATCATATTAAAGCACCTTCTAACTTTCCTCTTTAAAAATCACTACTTTTCAATGAGTGATTTCATACAGTCCTAATTTCAAATTAGGTGGAATAAAGCAATGAGAAAATTTTGGCAAGATCTGACTCTACTGTAGCTAATATTAAATACTCCCCCCGCCCCAAAACCAATTTTCCACTTGAGTTAATGCAAAGTACATAACTTTTATAAGCACTGTGGCTGAAAGAGCCTACATACCAACAAGGTGCCTCTTTTATTTGAAAATGCTGGCTGGCTCGGTTTAAAAAAAATAGATTCGATATTCTTACTCCTGATCATTTTTAAAAAATGGGTTTTCTTTTTATAAAGGTTAGTTGATTTCCTGTATTGCATAACGATAATATTATCTATTATGTTTTTTAAAGAAGAAAATATGTTTGCTAAATTATGCACCTAAAGCAAGAACTTAGTTTCAATGTCTTACAACTTCATCGTGGTCTCCTTTTAGGTTTCTTAAAATAAACATGTAGCCCAGGACCATAGCAAAAGAGAGAGGAAAAAGGACAGTTTTATTTCATCCACAAACAAGGGAGTCTAATGTGATGATTTTCTCAGCTGAGCCCATTAACATATATTGAGCATATGTGTGTACGGAGTAGATTTCTTTTGAAAATAGAACTACCATTAGTTTCTACGCTGTGAAGCAAATGCTAGGAAGGCATTGGGAGGCAGCTGGGGTTCCAGCTCAGCCTGCAAGGAAAGCATCTGGCTTCCACAAGACTGGCTGAAAGCTGCCTTAGTCCAGAATTGTTCTGGAGTGAGCCCAGATTCCTAGCTCAGTCCTGGAGATGAGCTGACTTGGTCTTGGGGGTTCTGCTCAACAATAAAGCGGCCTGAACTATCTTGGACTCTAGAATAGGGGTCAGCAACGACAGTCCTTGGGTCAAGCTGGCTTGTTACCCCTTTTGTAAACAAAGCCAAGCTCATTTGTTTATATATAGTCTATGGCTTTTCATGCTACAATGAATTGAGTAGTATGCAAAGCCAGAGATATTTACCATCTTGCCCTTTAAAAAAAATACTGACTTCACTCTGTAAGAACCTGGGATGAATGGTCACTACCACACTGTATCTAGAACAAACCTCAAAGCAAGCAAAACCGGTGTATCGCCTACTTTTATACCAAGTTTTACCATTTTCATATGTCTCAGGAGGGTATGTTCTTTGAGACTATCTTTGAAGGCTTTTTCAGGGGGGCAAATTATCATGGAGTAGAGAGCCACCACTGTGTAGCACTTGATTCCATGCTGTCCTTTATCAGAGGGGACACTTTTCCTACATTCTGCAGTACTGCTATCTGACATCTGTGTGCTCACATATACCTGTGGCTGCAAAGAATGAGTGAAGCTTCTGGTTGAAATTTCTACTTGTAGCAGCACAAACATGGAGGCATTGCTAAACCTGACCTAGACAAATTTTCCACTGGATGAGCAGATTTACGACACAGAAGTGAGATTTAAATAAAGAAGAATTCTGGCCAGCGGAATAAAAACGGACAAAGGTACATTTTGGTGCCTGTTAGCGAGAAGTCAGATGAGAAGATGAAATGTGAATCTGAGACCTTCACTTCTTATGGGCGTGAATCATTCTGGTGTTCCCAGGAACTCTATTTTTTTGTTGCACCAGGAACTCAAGTGTAGATGGGTAGAGAGGCAAGGCGGTGACACTGGGGACTATAATGTGTCAGTCATTACATAAGGCTTGTAAAATTAGGTTTGTAAACTTCCAGAAGGTGGAGCAGCAACCTTCAGTTTCTCGAGTCTACCAGGGAATGGATTCTGGGAGGAATTGTCCTGCATGTTTAGTTTGTCACTGGGTAGAGAGGTGACGTGACTAGATTATCAAAAGTCAGGGTGTTCCCATGACACTCCGAATTCTGTCTATGGGTATCTGCCCTGCTGCCATAGTAGCCAAAAGGGCCGTCATGGGCTTGGTTCTGGGTTGGAACCTGGATAGCAAAAGTTGTAAGCTGATAGTCCATGGGTTGGTTCTGGTCAGCAGACACTTTGACTAGTGCATGAGTTTTTGATATTTTTATACATTAATTGCTTATATTTACAAACAGTGATATTTTATTTAAAACTTGGATTTCCAACTTCTTTTGAAAATTCGAAATCTCTGGACAGACTGGGCTTTATCTCTGTCTGTCAATGAATGTCTAGAGTGGAGGAATGGATTCTCTTCAGAGAGAACCTGGGTTGTCCAGCTTTGTTAGTACCCCCAGTCTGTTTCAGGCATTGGTGTAGCTGCCTGGCCCCTGAGGCCTTTGAGTTTGCAACCCCTGCTCTATGTGTTACACAAAAAGTTCATGCTAATGCAAACTTATGCTCCTCAAGGTCATCCTATTTCTCCTTTGTCCCTTGCTAAGAGTTTCTAGCTTACTTTACTTTATGCGATCTAATCACATTCCATTCTGACTCTACTGCTGAACAGAATAAACAGCCCTTTTTGGGGGAGACACCTAGACTCTGTGGTCTGTAAGTATATAGAGCCGTTTATTATATTGATTTGAATGGCTATAAAGATCGAATGTATTTAGTATGTGAGGGTGATCTTAGGATGGCTAGAAACTAACCTTTGACGGTGAATTATCGTATACCCCTGCTCCCCCATGTTTGCAGTAATGACGCATTTCACAGTAGCTGAAGAAGGAAGGACATTTGCAAAGACGTATTCGCAGGATGCATTTTCATTTAATAACACTTGTTGGTTTTGGAAATAATTGTTGCAAAGACTCTCAGATTGATCTTTCATAAACCCTACATTTCTTTTTAAGTGGAACAAAGATGGAGACACACAAAGAAAAATTTAAAAGTATAGATACCTGTCATACTGTTGGGAGTCATAGGTTAGTAATCATTCTGGACCCTTTTTTTCACTGACATCTCCTACAAAGAAAAAGACAAGAAAAAATACCACAGGTTATAACCTGCATTTTCCACAATGTTTTTGTTCCAAACAATATCACATGCATTAATTAGCATGGGTGATCTGTTACTCTCAAGTCAGAACCAGGGAAATTGAAGCATAGTTGGGCTTATGATAGGTGTAAGTTTACAAGACCTTTTACTTTTTATCTCAGGGTTCCTTCTATAAATATGTCTTTAAAATAATATTTTATTTAAGATCACATGTCTATTTTTTGATTTTTCCATTTCAAGTTTTAAAGAAAGCTTCCAGTGCACCGACTTGTTGCTTTTCCCCAGAGTGGCTAAGATGTATTAGCATCTTCAATCTAGATCCTTGCCTCTCAAAGTGCGGTCTGTGGGCCAGCAATTTCAGCATCACTTGGGAGCTTGTTAGAAACAGATAATTTGGGTCTAACCTCAAACATAATCAAATCTGCATTTAGACAAGATCCACGGGTGGTTCATGAGCACTTTAGCAAAGTGTCGGATGCTCTGCTCTAGAGAACAGAATCCATATTCTCATCTTCCCATTTGTGACTTTCTCTCAGTCAGTGCTGAACTCCATCCCCTCCCCACTATATTAATGAGATCCAAGAGCAACAGATAGACTTGGCCGTTAGACCAGGGAAGGAAGCATGGTGGACGTCGGTATCCAGAGGTGCCCTAGCAGAGGGAAGAATGTTGAAGGATGTGCACAGTCGGATATCCAGATGACTGATGAACATGGGTCAGAGTCTGTCAGAATACAGCTGGAGATAGAGCAGAATTCAATTTCTTTTTCTAGAAGAGGCTTCTGAGTTCAGTGGCGGCATGGTGACTTGGGAATAGTACTGAAGTCCAAGACATGCATTCCAGGGTCAGCGCTGCCACTTACCAGCTGTGGGGTCGTGACAAGTAATTTCAAAGCGTTAGAATCTCTATTTCTTCACGTGCAAAATGAGGAAAATAATACTTGCTCTACCTACTTCACAAGGCTGATGTTTCTGAGGTTTAAAGATGGTATGAGCAAAAGGGCTGGGTAAACCGTATGTACTCTGCACATAAAACCAATGGAAGAGGAGGAAATGCATTGATGTTAAATAACTGGTGGGAGAAGAGGAAATATGTAGATTATGTTTAAAACAGGGATTTAGATATGGCCTTTCATTCTGTATATACTGCCAATACTGCAACACTGAATTCATACCTTGATCATCGTTCTTGTCACACCTGTGGTAATTACATATTTATGTGGTTACCTTTCCCACTAGACTATAGTCTCTCTGTGGCAGGAACTGTCTTTGTCATTTTCATATCTTCTATGTTGAGCAGAGTATCAGATACATGATAGGTACTCAACAAATATGTTGAATAACTGAATAAAATAAAATCAATGAAAGTTGATGTGGCATGATATAACCCATGAATTGGGATCTGGAAGAAGAGATGTATATTAACTACTAGGCAAATGCATTCTTGCTGCTGATTCACATTTCAAGGGTCACCAGTCATAAGCCCTCTGCTGCTTCATCACACACCTGTTCAGCTGGGTTCCGAGTGAGAGGGAGCAGGTTCTGAGACACCTAAGTTGAAAGCTCAGATCACACTTACAGTCTTGAGTGTCCAGACTCTGTTGCTCTTCTTAGAAGCTAAGATGCCATTAACTGCCCCCTCCCAACCTATGACGGTGGCCACATTTTCACATGACATTGTCCCTGAATGTTTAGAGCCAGTCACAGTGCTCTACCTTTGGCCAAGCTGGTTCAAGACCTGAGATAATAAGATGCTTTTCAGGATTTTGGAGAGAGCAAGAAAGAGAGTGGTAGGGAGGAAGGAAAAGAGAGATAGAGGAAAAGTTTACTAGTCCCTCTCTGGTGGCACAATTTATGAGAAGCTAAAACTCTAAAACTGTTTGAGGCCATGTATCTCTCAGCCACAGGAAGAAGCCTGTCTGAAGGTGAGAGAGAGGAGGAATCTGACATTCACAGAGAACCTCAGGTGAAAACCCCTTTCAGTTCTCCCCCAGAGTCCAAGCTGTATTCATCCCGATCCTCCAAAGGTTTGGCTCCTCAACCGTTCCTGAGCAAAATACTCCCCATTTTTACATAAGCTGATTCCAGTCAGGAACATGGGTAACTCCTATAAATTCTGCTGGTTTTAAGGAGGGGACCAATATGATCCAATTTGCGTTTTTAAAGCTTCATATCGGCTGTTGAGTGAAAGCAGACCAGTCAGGGGGCCACGGTAGGTCTGGGGGAGAGATGAAGGTGGCTAGAACTTGGGTGGTGGCGGTGGAGGTGGCGAGAGGGTGAGGGACTCAAGTGACATTTAGGAGGTGGAAATACTAAGACAGTGATAAATGTGATAGAGCATTTAATGCTGGGATAAACACAAGAGATGCAAATAGGTTAAGACCAGAGGCTCTCAGGCCTCAAGGGATTTATAATCCATTTTACAAGCTGGATGGGAAGGCAGAGCCTATTGGCAATCTGTAGCTAAAAATAAAAGCCACAGAGGTCCTGGGCCAAGGGGGCGGTGCTGAGAAACACTCAGGACTAAGCCTTCCTCTGGGATGAAAGGTGTAGCGCTCAATAATAAAAGCCCAAAAGGGACAGCAGCTTGTCACAGGGTATATGATCTGGGGGGTGGGGAGGGGCCAGGAAATGGCTGCAAGAATGAAGCTACAAATGCAGTTTGGGGCCAGATGGTGAAGGGTCTTGAAAGGTTTGCTATAAAATTTGGACATTATCCTGTGAGAAATGGGGAGCCATGGGAGATCTTTATGGGCATGAGCCTATTTGAGAAAGATAACTCTGCCTCAGTGGAGGGGACTCCTCAGGAGGCTCACCCTTGGGTGGCACCTCGGCATGGAATCTTTACTGTTTTCCAGCTTTAGTGTTCAAGGTCACAAAGCTAGACTAGGGCCAGAGAGGACACCCCGAACTCCATCTTGTAAAGCTCCCACTGCATGCCTTTCATCCCCTTGTGTTACCTTTTTCCCCAATAGAAACTACGACATTGAAGGGACAATTGGAAAAAATACCCCTTGAAAAATCTTTCCATATGGACCTAGTGAGGCACTGCTTACACAATCTAGACATAATTAAAATAAAATACCACATCGCCCCCATGTCTCTACATCTGCCTTTTCTGGAGAAAATGACTGTGGTCTTTGTAAGGCCACTTTCATTAGTTTGCTTCTCCTTGGCTCTCTCAGGAGAAGGGGCACCAGAGCTTCACGTGGCCCATTGTGTCACAATGGTGGGATACACAGAGTTTATGTTAACGCTTCAGCCAGTGCTTCATGGGCGGTGGGGTGTGGTGTGGGTAACTTTCATAGGCAAATCTCTTGGTTCAGTTTAAAGGGTCAGATGCTCAAGCGTGAGGCTATTCCAGACTCTGAACTGAGACCATTAACACCGGGAAGCTCTCAGAGGAGGGCAGGCCCACCCTCTCACCTGGCACTGAGCAAACGTGGATGCTCTCCACCTCCTAAATAAAAGGATTGCATAGCTTGGGAATGTGTCTTGACGTTGTGTTTACACAGCAAGCGACCGTTTTGACAAAGTTTATTGGATATTGTGGGTTATTAGCCACTGTGGGAGGTCATGAGATGAGGCCAGAGCCCCTTACCCTACTCGTCCGCACTTTGCCTTTGACACTGCTCTGTCTGTGGCACCTGAAAACACAACTGGGTGGAGGCAAATGGCTGTCCCCTCAGAGTGGGCTGCACCCCACAGGAGGAGGACAATGAGGTTGTGGATTTCTGTTGTGGGCCTCTTACCCTCACTTTGAAAAGCGCCCCTCTCTCTCCTGGAGTTTCCCTTCTATCCCCTTTCCCTCAAAGGGAAGAGCCCATTTACCTCAAACCTTTCACCTTGACATTCGGGAAACATTTTTAAGAACAAGTTCAACCCCAGGTGTGGAGGAAAGACTCCTAGACTGGGAGTCATTCCAGATGGTTTTGAGTCTCAATTCAGTAGTTTGAGTCTCATTGGATAGGTTCTTCAACTCTCTGAGCCCCATTTATGAAGTGAAATCACAGTTCCTAACCTTTAGGTTATGATGAGGGCAAAGAGAATCTGAAAATGCTTTATAAATTTAAAAGTAGAACCCCAGTGTAAGTTCCTGGAAGATTTCTTCATTATTATAGTCACTATTATTACAATCTACTCCTCTCCTGGCCAGCCCCAAACATGCCTAAGGTGTGTAAAACTGGAGCAACTATCTGCCCTCCACTTGAGGTGTTCTGGGGTGGTTTCAAGACTCATAACAGCACAGAAGCCCAATTTCCCTGGAACCCATCATCATAGAGGTAAAATGGAAATGAAACTGCTTCTCTCTTCTCTGCCATTCTCTTCTTCCCAGACTGAATTTTACCTTTGTGAATTTTTTCCCCTTTCAAGATTGCCTTTCATGTTCATTTAAATTTGTTGAGGGGCAACGAATTTGGACCTAATTTTATAGCATTCTAAATACAGCCTGAGTTGTCCTTCTCTGACATCTTTGCATTTTAATAATAAATCTAGGATTCAATGAAGTAAATATATCATGGTTGAATGTCTGAAGATAGTGATAACTTTAGAACTCAAATATTTAAGAGAACAGAGGCAAGGTATCTTCAAATCATACCACATATGATCCACTTTTTCCATTTAATAAAACTAACCGTATTTGGGAATATAGTATTAAAAAAGTAAGAAAAAAAATTAAAAGCCAGCACAGTTAGATTGGGGATGGGGCTAGGTAAAAAAAACAATAAGACTCTGAATTAGTTAATAAGATGTAGAAAAATAGTAGTAGCTCTACGTTGTGCTCTACGTCTTAATCTTAGTGGATCACCTCTTAGAACAGAAGGCAGAGTTGAAAGTCCTCTGCTGGGTATGGTAGGAAACTAGGGCCCCACATAAGCAACATCAGCGAATGACTATTGAATGGCAAAGCTATGAATTTCATTTCAGATTTCCGGCATTGGCTGTAAGTGTTTTGCCTTTAGGGAG